TCTGTCAAATTAAAAAAAAAAAATTTACATTTTGAGTCATGTGGGATTTTTCTGGAGTACAGTGTCAAGTATGGATACAACTAAATTATTTTCCAGATGTCTCCTTCATTGTCCCAATATTATTATTTTTTTTAGAAATCCTATCTTTTTCTCTGATTTGAGATGCCGCCTTTTTAATATACTAAATTCTTATATGTATGTGAGTTTATTTAGGAGATTTTATTCTGTTCATTGGTCTGTCATTTTATGTGCTAGTTTCGCATTTTAAAAACATTTTATATCCAAAAATATTTTAATGTCCTTTTGGTTATTACCTCTTTACTGTTATTTTAAAACATTTTCCTGGCTGTTCTTATTTATTTTACCACATGAACTTTAGAATCAGTTGTCTAGTTCAATAAGAAGTCTTGGTATTGGGCGCCTGGGTGGCTCAGTCGTTGGGCATCTGCCTTCGGCTCAGGTCATGATCCCGGGGTCCTGGGATCGAGCCCCACATCGGGCTCCCTGCTCCGCGGGAAGCCTGCTTCTCCCTCTCCCCCTGCTTGTGTTCCCTCTCTCGCTGTCTCTCTCTCTCTCTGTCGGGTGAATAAATAAAATCTTAAAAAAAAAAACTTAAAAAAAAAAAAAAAAAAGTCTTGGTATTTTTATTGGTATAAAGTTAAATTTATAAATTTATTTATGGAAAATTAACATCATCGTGTTACTTTTTTCACTTTTTTATTAAGATGCAAATTACATACAGCAGAATTCATTCTTTTTAATGTACAGTTCTGGGTGTTTTGATAAACACATACAGTTGTGTAATAACCATTACCACAATGAAGATATAGAACAGTCCCATTAGGATCCACAATTCCTTCCTGCCTTTTTTGTGTTATTTTTAGATTAAAAAAAAAAAAACGTCAAAAATTTTAAAAAGTAAAATAATTCTGATTTTTAGGGACATTAAGATGAATAGATTTTTTTACTTCTTTTTTTTTTTAAGATTTTATTTATTTGTCAGAGAGAGAAGAGGGGAGAGAGAGAGCATGAGCACTAACGGGGAGCTGCAGGCAGGAGAAGCAGGCTCTCTGCCAAGCAAGAAGCCTGATGTGGGACTCCATCCCAGGACCCTGGGATCATGACCTGAGCGGAAGGAAGACACTAAAGCAAGTGAGCCACCCAGGCATCCCTAGATATTTTTACTTCTTAGAAAAATGTGCTATAGTAACGGTATTACCCGTATTTGAATAATAAAATTTTCAATCCTTGGTAATGGCCAGTAGTAATTGAGCCAAAAAAGATGCTTTTTCTCCTATAACAGGAGCCACCATTGACTCTCACAGAGGGTGTGTTAGATTAAGGACTGGAGTCCTTTTCATTATTAGTTTTGCTGGTGCTGAGAACCATTAGGAGGTATGGGTTTTGTTGTTGTTGTTGTTGTTATTGATGACTTATTTTTCTTAGTAACCTGTTCTTCATAATGTATGTGAAATTATATATGTGATGTATATTTGTGTTTGGGAATGGAAAACACGGTAGTTCTGTAAATTTTCTTACTCTCTCCCCATTTTTTTTTTTTAAACTTCCACAATCATCTTTTACTAAGATTTTAAAACTGAGAATAGGAGTGCCTGGCTGGCTCAGTTGGAAGTGCGACTCTTAATTTCAGGGTTGTGAGTTCAGGCCCCATGTTGGGTATAGAGATTACTTAGATGAATAAATATTTTTTAAAAAGTGTGTGAGAATCCACACAGTGGTATACTATGAATTAATAAAGAGGAATGAAGAAAGTCTCTTTCCCCTAGACTGATCAATCTACTGGATTTATTGTTAAGAAAAAAAAAAGAGAGAAAGATATATATAGAATGTTACTGCTTACCTAAGACTGGGTGACGGCATGTATACTCATATTGCTTATATTTTCAAAAACACATTGGAAGGATAAACCATACAATTTAAAAAAATGGGAAGTGAGAGAACAGATGGGTGAAAAGACAAGAAAGACTAGACTTCTCTAAATAGATCTTGTCTTATACATTTATGGTTTACATAATTATAAAACAAAATTAAACCAACATGAAAAACTTTTTTTTTTTTTTTAAAGATTTTATTTACTTATTTGACAGAGAGAGACACAGTGAGAGCAGGATCACAAGCAGGGGGAGAGGGAGAGGGAGAAGCAGGCTTCCCGCGGAGCAGGGAGCCCGATGCGGGGCTCGATCCCAGGACCCCGGGATCATGACCTGAGCCGAAGGCAGACGCTTAACGACTGAGCCACCCAGGCTCCCCGAAAAACTTTCTAAAAAGCAAAAATAAAAAAGCAAGATTAAACAGGTGAACCTAATTATATATTGACTTGATGGCATAATTGCACCAAAAGGAACTAAGTGCCTTTTAAACATAGAATTAATCTATACATGCCAGATAAGATATACTCCAAGGACATAAATAATTGCAAAGTAACTTCAGTAATCATACTGTTAATGATAATATTAGTATTGTGGACTCTAAATATTATATGATATCTAAATACGATATGATATCTTATTTTGGGAAGTTGGGAAGACTAGTTGTGTATTAGTTTGCTCAGGCTGCCATAAAAATACCACAGACTGGATGGCTTAACCAACAGAAATGCATTTTCTTATGGTTCTGGAGGCTGGAAGTCCAAGATCTAGGTGGTGGCAGGCTAGAACAATACTTTACTCACATAGAGAAGAGACAAAACAAGATCAGCTTCAGTAGTAGGTATTGGCCCCCACAGCTAGCAGTCACTCACTGCAGTTGATGCAGGCCATTGGTCTGTACACACTCCTCTTGTGCCACAGAATGACTTCATCTTGTCCCAACAGAGGACATATATATTAGTGGGGTTTTCTAGGTAACCTATGACACACACAACTTTCACAGCAAAGGAGTACAAACCAAGTCTGAAACTGGGAAAGGTATTCTCATTCAAGGTAATAAGTCCAGGCTTGGGCTAGGTATTCTCATTCAAGGTAATAAGGCTGGGAGGACTCTAAATCTTGGTAAGAAAGTGTTCTAGGCCCAAGGCTGAAGGGGGGCTGAAAGACTATGCACAAGACTACCTTTCTCAATACATACTTTATTATTTCCTGTAGGAAGTACACACATGCCTCCCACCCCTAGTTAACTTGATAGATAAAACTTCTAGCTCTAATAACCAGTTTATAGGAGGTATATGGGATGGAAGAACCTGTTAAATGACATGCAGTTAGAAAATTCAAAATGTGGGAGACTGCAGGAAAAAAACAGTCCAGTTACTTCAACTATTAAATTGCAGTGGGAGGGGGGTAATTTATGTATTTAAAAAGATACTTCGATATAGCAACCAAAAGCAATGTGGGCACCTTGTTTGGATCTTAATTTGAACAAAACAACTAAAAACAAATAGTTGGGGAAATGTGACAACAATCTGTTTAGTTTTCCTTTGCTGTAGAAAAACTTAGTCCAAAACTTAGCAACTTATAACAGTAAACATTTATTATCTTGTAGTTTCTGTGGGTCAGAAATTCAGGAGTGGCTTAACTGGGTCATCAGGCTCACAGACTCACAAGGCTGCATTCGTCTCTCATTCTAGTCTTTTTGTTGTTGTTGTTGTTACAGATTTTATTTATTTGAGAGAGAGCCCAAGTGGGCTGAAAGGCAGAGGGAGAAGGAGACTCCTCACTGAGCAGGGAGTCCAATGCGGAGCTTAGGACTCCAGGATCATGACCTTAGCAGAAGGCAGACGCTTAATCGACTGAGCCACCCAGGTGCCCCTCTAGTCTTGAGAAGGATTCACTTCCTGTATAGTGCTTGTTAAGATTCAGTTCTCTCTGATGGTTGACTGGAGGCCTCCCTTGGTTTCTTGCTACATGGGGTTCTCCGCAGAGTGTTTCACAACATGGCAAGCTTCCTTTTTAAGGCTGAATAATACTCCATTTCATGTATGTACTGCATTTTTGTTTATCTACTTCTCTGTTGATGAACACTTGGGTTGCTTCCACCTTTTGGCTCCTGTGAATAATGCTTCTCTGAACAGGAGTGTGCAAATATCTTCAAATCCCTGCTTTCAGTTATTTTGTGTACCCAGAAATGGAATTACTAGATCAAATGGTGATTAAAGATCTCTTTTTTGATGAACAACCATACTGTTTTCCACAGTGGTTGTACCATTTTACATTCCCACCAGCAATGCACTTGTTATTTTCTGTTTTGTTTTTGTTTTTTGTTTTTGATCATAACCTAATGGATGTGATGTGGTATCTCACTGTGGTTTTGATTTGCATTTTCCTAATATTTAGTAGTGTTGAGCATCTTTTTGCGTTCTTGTTAGCCATTTGTACATCTTCTTTGGATAAATTTCTTTTCAAGTCCTTTGCCTATTTTTGAATTCTGTTTTTTTTTTTTTTTAAACAGAACAGATAAACACTTAAGTCTGCCTACTAGCATACTCACCATGGTGTATCATTGCTGTTTTTTAGTTTTGTATTTGTCACTGGATTTGAAGCTTCTTGAGGGCATGGACTGTGTGTCTTCTCTCTTTGTTACCTTGGTGCTGCTTAGAACATAGTAAGAAGTGAATCCAAAATCTGAAGGAGTTCTATCATTTGTATTCTGAAAATATACACTCAGATTCAGTCCTTAGATTTTAATCTCAAATTCTCTGTGGTATAGACAAATGTGAAGGAGAAAACCTACCAGCACTGTTCCCTCAAATCATCTCATTTCATCTCTGTTCAGAAACTATATTGATATTCATTCCTTACTCCCAAGTATTCAGAAATAACACGGTATTATAAAAATAAACTTGACCATATAAGTAAGTCTTTATATTTCATCTTATATAAATTTTTAATTAAAGGGTACACATCTGAAAAAATATTTTGGTATAGATATTAATAGTGTGGTGTAACTAAGAATTTTAGCAAGTTTAGATGTAATAAAAAATTGTGGTTAAATTGTTAGTCTATGTTTAGGAAACATAATCTATCTTCTGTTTTGGTATTTGAAAGGTTGTTCTTTGATCAAGACACATCTCTTAGATCTGAATTCAGTCTCCATCCTGGTATAAGTGGAATGTACAAAGGTGAGAAATAATTTTTTTTCACTAAGTAGTCCCTTTAATTTGCCAAGTGTTATTATTGTATCAGCTTCTCCTTTTATGGTTAGTTTTGTTTTTAACTTTACACAGAATTAGTTTCTTATACTCATCTGTAAGAGACCCTAAGGTCTACTAAGGTCTATTACTATAAGGATAGCAAAGGGAATGATAACTTCTGGAAGATGTTTATGACTCCTAGAGAGGCCGTCAGAGATATGCAAGTGACACCCAGATAGCTCTTCCCCTTTACAGAAATTTCCAGCTTAACCCTAGAACTTGTTTATTTGCAAAAGTGAATAGTACTTTCTAATACCAGTCTGATTATTTCAGAATGAAATACCAAATATCCTTGGTATATTTATATATATTTAATTTTTTATTTAATTTTTATTTTTTATTTTTTATTTTTTTACTAAATTTATTTTATTTTTTTTTAAAGATTTTATTTATTCATTTGACAGAGACACAGCAAGAGAGGGAACACAAGCAGGGGAGTGGGAGAGGGAGAAGCAGGCTCCCCTCTGAGCAGGGAGCCCGATGCAGGGCTCGATCCCAGAACCCTGAGATCATGACCTGAGCTGAAGGCAGAAGCTTAATCAACTGAGCCACCCAGGCGCCCCTATATTTAATTTTTTAAACTTGAGTATAGTTGATGCATGATGTTACATTAGTTTCAGGTGTACATCATAGTGATTTAATTTTATGGGTTATGCTAGGCTCACCACAGTTTTAGTACCATCTGTCACATACAGTGTTACTACAATATTATTAACTATATTCCCTATGCTATGCTTCTATTACTGTGACTTATTTATTCCATAGCTGGAAACCTGTATCTTCCACTCCCTTTCACTCATTTTGTCCATTTTCCTAACCCCTGTCTCCTCTGGCAACCATCCGTTTGTTCTCTGTATTTCTAGGTCTGGTTCAGCTTTTTTTGTGTGTGTGTATTCGTTTGTTCTGTGTTTTAGATTCCCTGTATGAGTGAAATCATACGGTATTTGTCTTTCTTAGTCTGGCTTATTATACACTAATAACAAAGTAGCAGAAAGAGAAATTGAGAAAATAATCCCATCCATAATTGCAGCAAAAAGAATAAAACACCTACGAGTAAACTTAACCAAGGAGGTGAAAGACCTATATTGTGGAAACTGTGAAACACTGATGAAAGAAATTGGAGATGACACAAATAGAAAGATATTCCATGATCATGGATTGGAAGAATTAATATTGTTAAAATGTCCATGTCACCCAAAGCAATTTACAGAGTCAATGAATGCTTATTGAAATACCAACAACAACATTTTTTACAGAACTAGAACAAATGCTAATATGTATAGAGCCACAAAAGAGCCTGAATAGCCAAAGCAGTCTTGAGAAAGAAGAACAAAGCTGGAAGTGTCACAATCCCAGATTTCAAGGTATACTACAAAGCTGTAGTAATCAAAACAGTATAGTATTGGCACAAAAGATTGATGGAACAGAATAGAGAACCCAGAAATAAACCCATACGTTTAGGGTCGATTAATCTATGACAAATTAGGCAAGAATGTGCAATGGGAAAAATACAGTCTTTTCAAAAACGGTGCTGGGAAACTGGACAGCTACAAGCAAAAGAACTGGACTAATTTCTTACACCATACACAAGAATAAACTCAAATGGATTAAAGACTTAATTGTAAGACCTGAAACCATAAAAACCCTAGAAGAGAACACAGGCAGTAATTTTTCTGACATCGGCCCTAGCAGCATTTTTCTAGCTAGTTATGTCTCCAAAAACCAGGGAAACAAAAGCAAAAATAAGCTATTGGAACTACAGCAAAATAAACTTTCCTACAGTAAAGGAAATCAACAACATAATGAAAGGCAACCTACTTAATGGGAGAAGAGATTTGCAAATGATATATCTGATAAGGGGTTAATTTCTAAAATGTATACGACTTATACAACTCGATACCTAAAAAACAATCTAAATAAAAAATGGGCAGAGGACCCGAATAGACATTTGTTGTAAAGAAGACATACAGATGGCCAACAGATATATGAAAAGATGCTCAATATCACTAACCGTCAGGGAAATGCAAATCAAAATCACAAAGCGTTACCACCTTAGACCTGTCAGAATGGCTAAAATCAAAAAGATAAGAAATAACAAGTGTTGGTGAGGATATAGAGAAAAAGGAACCCTTGTGCCCTGATGGTGGTAATGTAAATTGGTACAACTGCAATAGAAGACAGTGTGGAGGTTCCTCAAAAAATTAAAAATAGTAATAGCATATCCAGTAATTCCACTACTGGGTATTTACCCAAAGAAAATAAAAACACTATCAAAAAAATATGTGCACTCTTATGCTTATTGCAGCATTATTTACAGTAGCCAGGATATGGAAGTAACCTAAGTGTTCATTGATAGACAAATGGATAAAGAAGATGAGCTGTGTATATATAGTGGAATAGTACACAGCCATGAAAAAGATGAGATCATGCCGTTTGTGACAACATGGATGGACCGAGAGGGTATTATGCTCAATGAAAGAAGTCAGACTGAAAAAGGCAAATACCATATGATTTCACTGATATGTGGTATGTATATTTTTTGAAAGTACCTTTTACCTACCAATTTTTTCTACTTCCTGAGTCCACTTCTAGGTCAGTTTAAATGCTTCTAGAAAAATGTATCACTGATCATCACTGTTCAAAAAGATAAATTTTGCAGTAGCTGTTTAAGGGGTACCTTATTTCCTTTTTATGCTTTCTTCTTGTGAGCCATTTTTTATTTTCAAGGATGTCTGAAAATAGGTATGGGAAAAAAGAAAAATTTCCTAAACACCACAAAGATCTTTTATATATAGTTCACAGAGTCTTTTCACTGTACATCATCTTACTTGGTACTCCAAAGGCAAGTTGCCGTTTCATCTTGGAGGGATTTTTCCTACATGTAGTTGGAAGAGGCAGTGTGTAATAGTAGTCTCCAGAACCTGCTCTTATGTTATATAAAGTACCACTAGGAAGAAGTTAGAGGTATGTTTTAGTATTCCAACCAAGTTTTTTCTTTGCTTTCCTTCTTCTTTTTCTTTCCTTTTCCAAATTGATAGACTTTTACTACTTTTGCTAATTATTAAATGAATAAAATTTTTCTAAATACAAAATTATATAATGTAGAAAGTGTAAGGTCCCACCCCCTACTCTTCCCTATAATTCTACTCCCAACAATTGCCAGTGTTTAGTATTTGTATATTTTTCTAGACTTTTGTATGCCAATATGAATATCTTTTTTCATAATTGGTATTATGTTAAATATATTGATCTTCCTCAACCTTTTAAATTGCTACATGTTATTCTGTATGAATGTACCCTTATTTAATGAATTGATAATATTTTTGGTATTTCTCAATACTGTAATAAATGTGAATATTCTAATATTTACACCTTTGCCTGCTTTTCTGATTATTCCTTAGTATAACTAGCTAAAATTAGATTTGTTTTTAAAGGATGGGCACATGTCAGATCTTGACACATATTACCCCTAAAAAAGAGGGCTTTTTCCTTTAGATCCAACAAAGGATATATTCAGTTGCCAAACTACTAAATAAAAAATATCTGATTATTTTAATTTGCATTTTTGAAGAATACCAAGGTTAGACATATTTTAATATTGAGTATTCATAGTTTTTGTGTATCTGAATTGCCTTATTTGTCTCCTAAATTATTCTCGTTTTATTATTGATTTATAAGGCCATTTTATATATTAAAGATAATAAAACTTTGTCATATATATGTTGCAATAGTTTCACTCAGTTCCCTAGTTAACTTTTGATGTTATTCATGATATATTTTGTATGCAGAAATTTTAAGGTTTTTTAAAATTTACTTATTTTTATTTTTTAAAGATTTTATTTATTTGTCAGAGAGAGAGCACAAGCAGGGGCAGCGGCAGGCAGAGCAGGCCGAGCAGGCAGAGGGAAAAGCAGACTCCCTGCTGAGCAAGGAGCCCAATGTGGGACTTGATCCCAGGACCCTGGGATCATGACCTGAGCTGAAGGCAGGCACTTAACCCACTGAGCCACCCAGGCGTCCCTAAGTTTTTTTTTTTTTTAAGATTTTATTTGAGAGAGAAAGAGCAAGCATGAGCGGGTAGGGGGTGTGATGGCATGGGGGAAAGGGCAGAGGGAGAGGGAGAAGCAGACTCCCTGCTGGGCAGGAAGCCCGATGCGGGGCTCGATCCCCGGACCCTGAGATTGTGACCTGAGCTGAAGGCAGATGCTTAACTGACTAAGCCACCCAGGTGCCCTTAAGTTTTTACATAGTAAAACCTGTCAGTCTTTTCTTCTGGGGTTTCTTGGTTTTTTCAAATTTGGAAATATTTTATCTACCACAAGACCATAAAGGTTTTTCTTTTACCTTTAGTTACCTTTGTTATATTTATTCATCTCGTTGTCACTGTTTAAAATACCATCATTGGGGCACGTGGGTGGCTCAGTCGTTAAGCGGCTGCCTTTGGCTCAGGTCATGATCCCAGGGTCCTGGGATCAAGCCCTGCATTGGGCTCCCTGCTAGGCGGGAAGCCTGCTTCTCCCCCTCCCGCTCCCCCTGCTTGTGTTCCCTCTCTCGCTGTGTCTCTCTCTGTCAAATAAATAAATAAAATAAAATAAAATAAAATAAAATAAATAAAATACCATTATTATTTTATATTAACTTCCCAGATATATATAGGTCTGTTTTCTACTTCTTGTTTTGTTTCATTGTTCTATTTAACTATATTTAGTAATGTACCATCACTACATTATTTTATCAGCCTTAGCTTTTAGTATATTTCTTTATCTGGTAGGGAAGATACCTCCTACACAAAGTAACTGGCTATAGCATTCATTCTGAGCTCCTTTGGAACAAATAGCAATCTCCGTGAAGTAGAAGAGTACCCATTGCCATCTTCCAGTGTATCCTCTTTCATCTTTGGTTGGTGGGATTTGCTCTGAGCTGGGTGGTTTCTGAGATTCTCATGGAAGAAATCCATATAGTTATTTCTGAAGGAGCCGCTCCTTTTCCCATGTAGAGTGACATAGTGTTTACCAATGTTTGGTTTCCCTTTAATCCATTATCATCTTCTGACCTATAGTGGGTATATTTCCTTTTTTCTCATTGGTGCTTCAGATTTGCTTTTAAAAAAAAGAATTTCAAAAAACAACAACTAATTTCTTTGGATTCTTCTTAGGAACTGGGAAGGGAAGAAAAGTTAAAATATGAGCTCACTTTCCCATCTTAAAAATACAAACTCTGTTTTTGGATTATATACTAGCATTATGAGTTTTTATTTTTATTTTTTTATTTCTTAAAGATTTTATTTATTATAACATATATTATATTAAGTTATATATATATATAACTTACAAACTTTGATATATAAAAGTGGCAGTTAGGAAATTATAATTTACAAAATAATTTTTAATGACATTTGTAGTTTCTATAAAATCATAGAGTCCTTGTCAAAGCAGAGCAATAAAACTTGCAAGTGATTTATGATTATATTTCATTCTAGGCACACCTTCTCCTGAGATTCAACTTGCGTTCAAATTCAGAGAGGATCCACAAGAGCAAAAGAGTAAAAATAAGATAATGCCTCTTAGTGAGAATGCAGTCTTACAGGTATGTAGCATATTGATTAAATACATACTTACTAAAAATTGGGAATGCTATTTCAAAGAGCGGCAAATTACTAATGATTAATTCTTTTTGTGTATTATTTTCCTGCTTTCTTCTCTTACTCAGTTTTTACCCTTTCTTAGCTAGTCATTCTGTTTCTTCTTTGCAACTTCGGTGAAAGGCAGTTGTTTTAGAAGGGGATGTTTAAAATATTTCATTTCTTCCTCTCTTTCCTTTTCTCTCTTTCAGGTAGAGATGTGGAAGTGAGAGAAACAGAAGGTTAAAGTAGGATATGATATAATAGGGTGCCTGGGTGGCTCAGTCGGTTAAGCGACTGCCTTCGGCTCAGGTCATGATCCTGGAGTCCCTGGATCGAGTCCCACATCGGGCTCCCTGCTCGGCGGGGAGCCTGCTTCTCCCTCTGACCCTCCCCCCTCTCATGAGCTCTCTCTCTCTCTCGTTCTGTCTCAAATAAATAAATAAAATCTTTAAAAAAAAAAAGAATATAATAATTATGATTTTCATCTCCATTGTATGTCAGAGATCACTTTAAATTTGTGAAGAAGATGTTAGTCTGCATGGTATAATTTGAGATATGGGCTACTGAAAGTCCCTTCTATTATCTTATGTGTGTGTGAGTGCATGTGTATGTATACACACTTACATACACAAATTTTTATTTGTTTCTTTTTAATGCAGTCACCCTGGGGAAAGATTAGGGGTGATTTAGTTAACACCTGTGGCATAAATAAGTCAGCTAACCAGAGATACCTACAAAGTCTTAAGGAAGGAAGGGACGATAGATACATTTTTTTCCTCTGAGGATAAAAAGTAACATTCCAGTGTGTTCATGTTTTAATTTTCTTCAGAAAAATACCAAGAGGTGGAATTACTGGATTGTATGGTACTTCTATTTTTAATTTTTTTAGTAACCTCCACACTGTTTTCCATTGTGGCTACACCATTTTACATTCCCACCGACAGTGCATGACAGTTCTCTTTTCTCCATATCCTTGCCAACATTTGTTGTTTCTTGTCTTTTTGGTTTCAGCCATTTTGACAGGTGTGAAGAGATAATCTCGTTGTGATTGTGATTTGCATTTCCCTGATGGTTAGTGATGTGTATCTTTTCATGTGTCTTCTGGTCACCTGTTTGTCTTCTTTAAAAAAATGTCTGTTTGGGTCCTCTGCCCACTTTTTAATTGTACTGTTTAGTTTAGGTTTTTTTGTTGTTTTTTGCTGTTGAGTTGTATGAGTTCTTTATCTATTCTGGATGTTAACTTCTTATCAAATATATAATTTGCAAATATCCTCTCTCATTCTGTAGGTTGCCTTTCATTATTCTAATGGTTTCCTTCACTGCATAAAAGCTTTTTATTTTATTTTTATTTATTTATTTTTTAGAGAGAGAGTGAGGGGGCGGGGCGGGGAGAAGAGGGAGAGGGACAGAGAAAATCCCAAGCAGGCTTCCTTCTCAGTGAGGAGCCTGACACAGGGCTCAATCCCACAATCCTGAGACCATGACCTGAGCTGAAACCAAGAGACAGATGCTTAGCCAACTGAGCCACCCAGGTGCGCCATGATTTCCGTCTTTTAAATCAAGAGTTGTTTTGTGGCCTAACATATGATCTATCCTGGGGAATATTTTATGTGCACTTGAGAAGAATATGTATTCTTTTTTTTTTTTTTTAAAGATTTTATTTATTTATTTGAGAGAGAGAGAGCATGAGAGGGGGGAGGGTCAGAGGGAGAAACAGACCCCCCGCCGAGCAGGGAGCCCGATGCGGGACTCGATCCTGGGGCTCCAGGATCATGACCTGAGCCGAAGGCAGTCGCTTAACCAACTGAGCCACCCAGGCGCCCGAGAAGAATATGTATTCTGTTTTTGGATGGAATATTCTGTATATATCTGTTAGGTCCATCTGTTCTAAGCCATTGTTGGTGTCATTTAAAGCCATTGTTTCCTTGTTGATTTCTTTCCGCAAGATGTATCCATTGATGTAAGTGGGGTGTTAAAGTCCCCTAGTTTTATTGTGTACTGTCAATTTGAGAGAAAAGTATTTTAAACAGATGTTATCAGTAACTGATCAATAAATAAAACACTTAAAACCAGGAATGTTTATTCTGCTATACTGAATGTGAGGATAGTTTGTGTGAGTATCTGGTGCTTCCTGGCAAGCCAGGGTTGGTTAGGCTGATTTGACTGTCTAGACTTTTTCCACTCCACTCCCAGTGATCCACGATTCAGTCGAAGAGAATGGTTTCAGATATTTTTGGTTGAGGATGTATAAATAGATTTGCCTCTTTTCCAGATCCTCCAAATTAGCACAATTAATTTAAACTCTTTTTCACCTCCTACACCCTATCCCCAACAGATGAAATAAAACAAAACCTGTACAGCTTAAGGGACCATCAAAATATAGGGGTGGTAAGGGCAGGAAAAAGATGGCAGACACATGAATCAAAAGGAGAGATAGCAATTTGGATCCCTTAGGAAAGAGTTGATTGAAATGTGTCCTTGCATTTTGTTAATTAACAAATGACCAACTCCAGCCCCCATTATATTCAGAGGCATTAGCTCTTAAGTGTTATTTTTGCCTATGGAGGAGGGGAAAGAAAAAAAATGACTGGGGCGCCTGGGTGGCTCAGTTGGTTAAGCCACTGCCTTCGGCTCAGGTCATGATCCTGGAGTCCCTGGATCGAGTCCCACATCGGGCTCCCTGCTCGGCAGGGAGTCTGCTTCTCCCTCTGACCCTCCCCCCTCTCATGTGCTCTCTCTCTCATTCTCTCTCTCTCAAATAAATAAATAAAATCTTTAAAAAAAAAAAAGAAAGAAAAAAAATGGCTGTCAGGAGCAAACGTCCTTTTTACTTCATCTTTTATTTTTTGCATTTTCCTTATGTAGGTAGGGTCAAGTCACTGATCTATAGTAAGGGAAATGAACTGGGTATTACAGGTATTTGAATGAATTATTTTGTGAAGATGCAGAAATATCTAGTAAGCATATAAGTATACTCTAATTAATACTTGGGAGTGTCTAGGTTTACTTCTTGTCTCTGGGCCTCTGAGCTTTGTAAGGTCTGCTTGGGAAGTATATGTATGTGGAACCAATGTGATAACCTTGAAGTATGTAAAGATTCATTATCAGTAAATAACAGTGAATGTTCATTGGAGAAGATTGAAGTTCTCACAGTACTTTGTGTTTTCCTGTTATTATAGCTTTTCATTGATTGAACAATGCTTGGAAATTCATGCTAAAGGCTTTATTTTCAGAAAGCTTTGTTACTGATCATAGAAACATAGAAGGCCCTCCAAGAGAGATCTTTTTCTAAAGATCCACTTTGATGGTAACAAGATATTAAATGTAAGGACTCCTTTTAAAGTGATGAAAGCCAGTATGCTGTAAAACTTAAAATGAAGTCATTTTATCAGTGCATTTTATCTTTTTTTTGAGAGGGAAACAACTTCAGATTTTCTGGCGTGACTTGAGAATTAGGCAAAAGTCATTTAGCACTTAACATTGTATTGCAGAGGTTGTATGATTTTTGGCCCTCAAGAGAAATATTAGAACTGAGAACCTGACAAGAATGGCTTATCAGAACCATTATGGACTAATGAAGTAGGAATAAAAACAGGACACACATCCTTTCTCTTTATTTAATTTCCATAAATTCTTTTATGGAAAGAAATTAAGGAAAAAACTAAACCAAGAGCTAAAACTCCTTGAAGAAAACATTGGGAAAAAGTATTGCAACATTGGATTTGGCAATGATTTCTTGGACATGAAAGCCCGGCAACAAAAGAAAAAATAAATAAAGCTAGACTCATGAAAATTAAAAACCTTTGTGCATTAAAGGACACTATCAACAGATGAAAAGGCAACCCAAGGAATGGGAGTAAGTCATGTATCTCATAAGGGATTGCTACCCAGAATATATAAAGACTGTTACAACTCAGCAACAAAAAAACCAAACAAACTGATTTAAAAATGGACAAAGGGCATGAACAGACATTTCACCAAAGAAGATAGACTAGTGGCCAATAAGCACATGAAAATGTGTTCACCATCATTATTCAATAGGGAAATGCACATCAAAACCACCCTGAGATCCCACCTTACACTCATTATGATAGCTGTTATCAACCCCCCCCCCAAAAAAAAAACCCAAAATAACCAGTGTTAGTGAGGATGTAGGAAAATTGGAATTCTTTCTCATGGCTGGTAGGAAATGTAGAATGGTGCCACTGCTGTGGAAAATGGTATGGTGATTCCTCCAAAATTAAACATTTTATCATATGATCCAGAAACTCCACTTCTGGGTTTATACCCAAAATAAGTGAAAGCAGGGACTCAAAAATATATTTGTACATCCATGTTCATTGAACCGTTATTCACAGTAGCCAAAAGGTGATAGGAACCCAAGCATCTACCAACAGATGAGTGGATAAACAAAATGTGTTACATACAATGTAATTAGAAAGGGAGGAAATAGTGAAATATGGTACAACATGGGGGTGAACCTTAAAGACCTCATGCTAAGTGAAATAAGTTCAGACACAAAAGGACAAATGTTGTATGATTCCTTTTATATTAGGTACTTAGAGTAGTCACAGTAGAGACTGAGTAGTAGAAAGAAAGGAGCAGGGTAGGTACCAGGGATTAGGAGAGGGATGAATGGGGAGTTAGTGCTTAGTAGGTGTGGAGTTACAGTTGGGAAAGATGAAAAAGTACTCTAGATGGATGCTGGTGATGGTTGTACAACAGTGTGCACAAAATGCCACAGCACTGTAAGTGTAAAAATGGTTAAAATGGTGAATTTTATGTTATATATATTTTACTACAGCAGAGAAGATGCTAAGAAAGAATAACACAAGAATTATTTTAAATGTTAAATTTTTAATTGTTGCATTGTATTAGCATTTATCAGTTAAAAGAAAACTACCTTTTTTCCCCCTAGCAACCTCAAGATGAAATGGAGCAAAATGAAGCTCTGTTCCAGTAAGTATACTAATTTTTGGCTCTATTAAATTGTAGTATTTTTTTTGTTTTGTAATTTTGCACTCTAAAGTGAGTCTTCATTGTCTTAAGAGTTTTAGAATTATTGTGTATTTTTTAATAATTGCCCCTTTAGCAGCATAAATATGTTATTTTTAAACATTCTAGATAAGCTTCATTTCATGAGAAAGATTGGTTCAGATTGAGTTGATTCTCTATTAATATTATTTTAAAAGAAAATTTATAGCAAAGCATGAAGGAAGGATTTGGAGACTTTATTGAAATTAGACTTTATAGGACTATTATACTTTTAAAAACTTTATCCTTTCAGTTCTTTTGAAACTGTGGTTCTCAAAGTATGGTCTGTGGACCCCTTGGGAGTCCTTGAGACTTTCCAGACAGTCTTTGAGGTCAAAACTATTTTCATAATAATACTAATACATTATTTGCCTATTTCTTAGTACTGACATTTGCACATAGAGTGCTAAAGAAAATGGTAAGTAAAATGCTGAAGCCTTAGTAGGAATCAGGGGAGTGGCACCAGATAGTACTAGTAGTTGCTGTATTTTTCTTTTCTTTTTTTTTTTTTTTTTAAGATTTTATTTATTTATTCATGAGAGACAGAGAGAGAGACAGAGGCAGAGGGAGAAGCAGGCTCCCCGCAGGAGCAGGGAGCCCGATGCGGGACTCGATCCCAGGACCCTGGGATCATGACCTGAGCTGAAGGCAGATGCTTAACCGACTGAGCCACCCAGGCGTCCCGTTGCTGTATTCAATGCCATGAACTAGCAGTTAAAAAAGAAAAGGAAGGAAAAAAAGCTAGCTTTACTTAATGCATGTGATGAAGCAGAAAACTTCTTGTTTTATTAAATTTCTACTCTTGAATATATATCTTTTTGATATGCTGTGTGATGATGGAGGAAGTATGCCTAAGTACTTCTGTGCATACTGAAGTGTGGTAGTTGTCTTGAGAGCACTTGTGTGACTTGAGTTGTAAACATTTTAAGAAAATTAGCTCACTTTTTCTTTTAACTTGAAAGAATAATTGACAGACAAAATAACATTCACACTTGGGTATATGGCAGACATTTTCTTGAAAATCAATGAAGTAATAATAAGCCAGTCACTTCAAGGAAAACAGCTGATGGTATTTGTTGCCAATGAAAAATTCAAGCTTTCATGTGAAAATCAGTGTAGGAAAACTTGTTTTTACCACCTTGACTTTGATGGCTTCCCAGTACTTAAAATTTTCCAGTGAGATCATTGGTAATATTTACAAAGGTGATCTTTTTGATGTTTAACAGTGTTATCAGTATAAGGAAGATTTCCATAATTTGGTGAATCAGTATTTTCTAAAAGACAAATGCACAATGTCACAATCACACGCAGGTGAAAGATTCATTCAAAGTACAAGGTAGACCAGTGGGTCATAGTGTGACAGAATACAAAAAGTTCATTGGTGTTGTTTCAATTTTTACATTTCCAGTAACCTTTAAAGAAGTTATTCCTTTTAGAGTTTTGGTGTGATATTGGCTTTGGTGTGATACTATAGTTATCCAAAAGACTACTAAAATACTCCTTCCTTTTCCAACTGTATATCTGTGAGAGGCCAGATTTTTGTTATAAATAAAACAAAGTATGGCAAAAGATTGAATGCAGTAGCAGATATGAGATGACAGCTGTCTTCTATGAAGCCATATATTTTTTTAAAATGTGAAATAGTGCCATTCTTTTCACTGACTTTTTTTCATTTTGTAAAATATAATAAATTTTCATAAAAATATATTCACATGTTAATGGATTATTACTGTTATTTTTATTTAACTTTAAGTTTTTTATGTTAATTCCAGTATAGTTAATATACAGTTAAATTAGTTTCAGATATATAATGTAGTGATTCAGTAATTCTGTATATTCAGTGCTCATCTGATAAGTGTTCTTTTACTGTTCTTTTTAAATTAATGATTATTTAAAATTTTTCCTATTTTAACTTCTAGTATGTAAGTGTAATTAAGTATATGTCACATAAATAAAAACTTTGGGTTCCTCAATAATTTTTAAGAGTGTAAAGGAGACCAAAGATCAAAAAGTTTGAGAACCACTGTGTTTAAATAACCCTATTACTGAATAGATCAGCACTATAAGTTCATCTACAGAAATGGGGGAAACAAGAAAACTAGGGAAGACAAACACAGTATACATAATCTCAGTGCCCAGAGAGAACCATTGTTAGCATTTTCGTACATTTTATTTTAGGCTTTATATATAGCTTTATGTTTTCTATGAAATTAAATCATTCTGCAGATAGTTTTTTGTATCCTATTTTAAAATCTTAAGTAATAATTTATCATAATTATTTTCTCATGTCATATTTTTAAAAACATGAATTTTAATGGCCTCACTATTTCACTGTATAACTTGACTGTACTATAATGCATTTAACTATTCCTCTACTGTTAGTTGTGTACATTGTTTGCTTTCTTGCCTAATATAAATAACTATTTTTTAACAATTTTGTTAAGAGTTTGCTCTATTTTCAGACTTATGTCTTAAATTCTCTTGTAATTAAGGGGGAAAATTCTGTTGTTGACTCAAAGTATGATTCAGTTTTGTTTTAAATCAGCTCGTTCTTCTCAAAGAATTGCATTTTAGGGAAAAAATCAGCATTCTTTTCTATTTGCCTCATAGAAATTGTTATATATATATATATATATATATATATATATATGAGCAGATTCATTTCCATTTTCAAGGTAGCTTATATTGATCACTTCTGGGTTTTTTTTTTTTATTAACATATAATGTATTATTTGTTTCAGGGGTACAGGTCTGTGATTCATCAGTCTTACACAATTCACAGCGCTCACCACAACATACCCTCCCCAATGTTCATCACCCAGCCACCCTATCCCTTCCCCTTCCACCCCCCTCCACTCCAGCAACCCTGTTTGTTTCCTGAGATTAAGAGTCTCTTATGGTTTGTCTCCCTCTCTGGTTTCGTCTTGCTTCATTTTTCCCTCCCTTCCCCTATGATCCTCTGTCTTGTTTCTCAAATTTCTCGTATCAGAAAAATATGGAACGCTTCATGAATTTGCGTGTCATCCTTGCACAAGGGCCATGCTAATCTTCTCTGTATCGTTCCAATTTTAGTATATGTGCTGCCGGAGCGAGCACGGTCACTTCTGTTTTTAGACAGGAGAGAGTGTTCAATTTATTATTCTTGCTTAGGCTTCAAGTAGCTATACCTGGTATATAAAAACTGCTCTTAAAACAGCTGAAACAAGAGCCTTTTTTTTTTTTAAGGGAGATATCTTGATTGCGTTTGCATATAGTAAATTGGATTGAGGAAAAAAGTAGTTAACTGACTGCTTTTCTTCAATCAACTTTTAATTATCCCAAGGCAGATGATAAAAATTGCAGATTAGGCATGACCCTTATTTTGCTTTCAACCTCTTTCCATCAATATTTCATATATGTTCTTTGCCTACTGTGAAATACAAGAATGATAAATAATACCTGAGAATTTTCTCATTAGTGACTTGCACTTACATCTAAAACTATAATGACAAACTTTCAATGTATTTAAGGATTTAGATGACCAAGATACATAATTCAGAACCAGTTTTTTCTCCCCCACTACCCTTATTTGATACACAGTCATCCCAGAGTGACTTTCACACCTAAACTTAAGGTTATCTTGTTTACACTCCTGAATTTCATCCATTAATTTTTCAGCTTGTTCCTTCATTTTTGCAATCACTTGAAATGTAAATGTTAACAAATTTGTAGTAATTGTAAAAGTAATTGGAAGGATGGAGCAAAAAAAAATTATGCAACTTCGAAATTCCTTTAAATGAAAAAAACCCTTAAATTATATTTGAATGAGAAATAGTGTTTTTTGTTTTCATTTCAAAATTTATATTTATTTATTAAATAATTGATTTATTTTTTAGGAATAAAAAAAGTTTTCCAATGATCACTAGGTCATTTTCCCAGGCTGAACTTTCAGTGAACCACCAAAGCATTCAAGGTATGTTTTTATGGGTAGAATCATATAAAGTAAATTTGTCTTTGCCTAAAAATAGAAAGCTTAGTTAGATATGGATTTATTTGCATTAATGGCTCTCAAAAGGCCAAATGGGTAGGAGGTTAGAAGTGTGGGAAATGCAGGACATTTGGCATTTTGGGAGCCATTAATGCCATATGATGCTTTTGGCATCTCTGTACTTTTACCACCACCCTATTGAACTTCTAAGTCCTAAGTCCTATTTATGCTTTAACTGGCTGTTCCTTTATAACTTTGTGGTGTTTCTTGCTGCCATAAAGCTGATGTTACTACACCATAGAATTGGTAGTCCCCTTTCCTTCTGATACTCCCTCTTCCCTTCATTCCTTTCAGAGTGTTTGGAACAAAAGTTCGTTTTATTTTCATCCAGATTTTAGGTTAAATCACATATAAGGAAACTGTTAAATTGTTCACTAGTTTAGCTAACTCTGTTTTAATACAATCCTATCTTCTTCCTCCCAATTCAAAGAGTAATTCTAACCAAATTGTAGAATGGTCAAAATAAACAAATTATCTTTAGTAATTGTTGTATATTGTATATAAGTTAAAATTCCGCTTTCCTGAGCATTTTCTTCTCATTTGGTACTTTAGAATTTTATGTATGTATGTATGTATTTTGAGAGAGAGAAAGAGCACAAGCAGTGGGGGAGGGGCAGAGAGAGAGGTCCGGAGCAGACTCCCCGCTGAGCAGGGAGACTGACGGTGGGGTTCGATCCCAGGACCCTTTGATCATGACCTGAGCAGAAAACATACGCTTAACTGACTGAGCCACCCAGGCGCCCTTAGAATTATTTTTTATACATACATACTACTATTACTGCATGTTGTCTCTTTCAGGTGTTAAGTAGAAAATGTACAAAATCTTTTAATAATTTATTAAAGGGTAGACAAAAACTCAAAAAAATTTTTTTAAGTTTTTTTTAAATTTATTTGAGATAGAGCAGGAGTGAGAGAGAGAGAGTGCGCACAAGCAGGGAGAGCAGCGGGCAGAAGGAGAAGCAGGCTCCCCACTGAGCAGGAAGCCTGACGCAGGCCTCAATCCCAGGACTCTGGGATCATGACCTGGGCCAAAGGCAGATGCTTAACCAACTGAGCCACTCAGGCGCCCCCCCCCCCCAAATTTTTTTAATTTGTAAAAACTATTTTAAGTAAATTTTGTAGTTAGAAAATGAGAATTCCTTAAATATGTTTATTTTTATATAGTAGTCAAATTAGCATAATAAATACCAACTTACCAAATTTTAAAAATACCAACTATTGGCATAAAAGAATGATCATTTTGATTATGAGGTGATTAAAAATATAGGAAGAGATGGCTTTGAGGATTTTCTTTGCAATTGAGAAAGGAGGATGAAGTCGTCTTCTCTTTTTTTAAACTAACCCACCAAGGATCTGACAGTTAAAAAAAAAAAGAATATTGAAGATGTATCTATTACAATGTTTCTTTCATCTGTACTAAATTTTAAGCAATCAGAGATAAAACTTTAAATAACAAGATATACGTAGTAGAACATATTATCATCATTGCTTGGCACAAAGGATTCTAATGCAAGGATAAGAAGTTATTTATTCCAGGGGCGCCTGGGTGGCTCAGTTGTTATTTCGGCTCAGGTCATGATCCAGGGTCCTGTGATCGAGCCTCACATTGGGCTCCCAGCTCTGCAGGAGGCCTGCTTCTCCCTCTCCCACTCCCCCTGCTTGTTTTCCCTTTCTTGCTGTGTTTCTCTCTGTCAAATAAATAAATAAAATCTTAAAAAAAATTTTTTTTTAACTTATTTATTCTTAATGTTTTGCTCATCATCCTGTGAGGGTGTGCAATACCATGATGTTAGCCCTCCTAGGTGATTTTCGTAGCTTATCATCATCAAATGGCAAAGGTGAAGCAAAACAAAATAAAAACAAAAATAATAAAAAGCAGATTTTTGTACGATATAAAGCTCAGTAAGCATATTTATGCTTATTTTTTTCCCCTGAAAAACCTGTCTTGCTTGTGAGGATGCATACTAAGGTTCAGCAAATAATTACTTATGCTGTAGCTCTAGATATGGCCTAATCAAAGGAAACCAAAAGAATGACTCAAACATATGCTTGAAACAGCAGTGAGCCCTAAATTCCTACCTAAATACGTCAGACTGCCTGGGCCTTAATGGTGAAGGTAGGAGGCAAGAGGAGTGGTATAGGAGAACTGTCTTTTTTCCTGATCATCCTTCAACTTCTCTTGGTATGAATTGCAGAGGGAGCAGGATGAGGAGGGGATGATAAAGTGGCAGTCACTTAGGACAACCTCCTGATTCCTTTTGGCCCCTACATGGGTTGTTCCTTTTCATGCCTAACTTGACAGCATGATTTTAATTTATATTCTATTACCTATAATGGAGGAGATAATGACCCTGAAAAAGTAGGTATGATTTTTCCTCCTGTAATTAACCCATACTTAAAATAACCCAGCCAAAATAGTGAGAGGCTTTTAGCTAAACTAATTCTAAATAATTATAATTTTACCGATCTTCATGTAAAGTATTTTTTTAAGAAGTGGAAGATTTTTTTTGTAAATTTATTGCCACTGTAATGATACTTTTATATCAATAAATAGATATAATATTTATAAAATATTTTATATATCACATGAATGCCTGAGAGAACCATTTCAAGTTATTTTGATTAAGAAATGCTAAATGAGAAGGTATGTTTTTAGTGCTTTGATAAAACTGGAGTAAAATTGTTGTCTTCTAGGGCCTGAGGCTGAAAATCCTGAAATTTTGCCAAACCCAGATAAGGTTGGTCTATATAACAGACATTACCTTTGCAGATCATGTGTTTAGATTTTATTTAAAAATTATATTGAGGGGCGCCTGGGTGGCTCAGTCGTTAAGCGTCTGCCTTCGGCTCAGGTCATGATCCCAGGGTCCTGGGATCGAGCCCCGTGTCAGGCTCCCTGCTCGGCTGGAAGCCTGCTTCTCCCTCTCCCACTCCCCCTGCTTGTGTTCCCTCTCTTGCTATGTCTCTCTCTGTCAAATAAATAAAATCTTTAATAAATAAATAAATAAAAATTATATTGATTAAAGTATCAAGCCCATTAGGTTCTCTCCCTGGGTGAGAATATGACTAAACCATTTCAGTAGATAGAAATGTATTCTGTCTAAAAACCCCTTCCAATATTTGTTCTTCCCTATCTCTAATGAAATAGTACTTTCTTGATCTGTGTTTCTTTTTTGTATTTTAATTCCAGTATAGTTAACATGCAGTGTTTTATTACTTTCAGGTATACAAAACAGTGATTCAACAATTCTATAAATTACTCAGTGCTAATCAAGATAAGTGTACTCTTAATTCTCTTCATCTATTTCACGTATACCCCCCCATCCACCTCCTCTCTGTGATAACCATGTACTCCATTTAAGAGTACTCCATTTATACTCCATTTAATAGTCTTTTTTTTTTTTTCTTGGTTTGTCTGTTTTTTCTTTATTTGTTTCTTAAATTCCACAGAGGAGTAAAATCAATGGTATTTGTTTTTCTCTGACTAATTTATATCACTTAGCATTACTCTCTCTAGATCCAGGCATGTTATTGGAAATAACAAGATTTCATTCTTTTTTATGGCTAAATAATATTCTTGTGTATTCTTGTTATTCTTGTTATTCTTGTTATTCTTCTTTATCCATCTTTCAGGGGACACTTGGGCTCCTTCCATAATTTGGCTATTGTAAATAATGCTGCAATAAACATAGGGATGCATATATCCTTTCAAATTAGTGTTTTCATATTCTTTGGGTAAATGCCCAATAGTGCGATTAGTGGATCATATGGTAGTTCTGTTTTTAATTTTTTGAGGAACCTTCATCCTGTTTTCCAGAGTGGCTGCCCCAGTTTGCATTCCCACCAATAGTGCAGGAGGGTTCCTTTCTTCCTACATCCTCGCCAACACTTGTTTCTTCTGTTTTGATTTTATCTCTTCTGACTGGTGTGAGGTGGTATCTCATTGTGGTTTTGATTTGTATTTCCCTGATGCTGAGTGATGTTGAGCACTTTTTCATATATCTGTTGGCCATTTGTAGGTCTTCTTTGGAGAAATGTCTGTTCATGTCTTCTGCTCATTGCTTCATTGGATTATTTATTCTTTGGGTGTTGAGTTTGGTAAGTTCTTTATAGATTTTGGGTACTAACCCTTTATCTGATAAGACATTTGCAAATATCTTCTCCCATTCTGTAGGTTGTCTTCTGGTTTTGTCGACTGTTTCCTTTGCTGTGAAAAAGCTTTTTTATCTTGATGAAGTCCCAATAGTTCATTTTCGCCTCTGTTTCCCTTGCCTTTGGAGATGTGTCTAGCGAGAAGTTGCTCTGGCTGGGGTCAAAGAGGTTGCTGCCTGTGTTCTCCTCTAGGATTTTGATGGATTCCTATCTCACATTTAAGTCTTTCATGCATTTTGAGTTTATTTTTACATATGGTGTAAGAAAATGGGTTAATTTCATTCTTCTGCATGTGGCTGTCCAATTTTCCCAACACCATTTGTTGAAGGGACTGTCTTTTTTCCATTGGATATTCTTTTTTTTTTTTTTAAGATTTTATTTATTTATTTGAGAGAGAGAATGAGATAGAGCATGAGAGGGGGGAGGGTCAGAGGGAGAAGCAGACTCCCCGCTGAGCAGGGAGCCCGATGCGGGACTCGATCCCAGGACTCCAGGATCATGACCTGAGCCGAAGGCAGTTGCTTAACCGACTGAGCCACCCAGGCGCCCTCCATTGGATATTCTTTCCTGTTTTGTCGAAGATTAGTTGACCATGGAGTTGAGGGTCCATTTCTGGGTTCTCTGTTCTGTTCCATTGATCTATGTGTCTGTTTTTGTGCCAGTACCATACTGTCTTGATGCTTACAGCTTTGTAATACAGCTTGAACACATTGGACAAAATAGACTTTAAAACAAAAATTAAAACAAGAGACTAGGAAAGACAGTACATAATCATAAATGGAACAATTCGACAAGAAGATATAACAAATTATAAATATTTACACACCCAACAAGGGAGCACCCAGATACATAAAGCAGTTAATAACAAACATAAAGGAAGTAATCAATAGTAATACAATAATAGTAGGGAACTTCAACACTCCACTTACATCGATGGACAGATCGTCCAAACAAAAAATCAGCAAGCAAACAGTAGCTGAGAAGGAACATTGAACCAGGTGGATCTAACAGAAATATTCAGAACATTCCATCCTAAAACAGCAGGATACACATTGTTTTCAAGTGTACATGAAACATTTTCTAGAACAGTTCACATATTAGGCCACAAAACAAGTCTCAACAAATTAAAAAATGTCAAAGTCATACCATGCATCTTTTCTGACCATGATGCTATGAAACTAAACATCAACCACAAGAAAAAATATGGTAAGACCACAGAAATATGGAAGTTAAAAAACATGCTACCAAACAATTAATGGAACAACCAAAAAAATCAAAGAGAAAATCAAAAGATACATGGAGAGAGGGGCGCCTGGGTGGCGCAGTTGGTTAGTCATCCCACTCTTGGTTTCAGCTCAGGTCATGATCTCCGGATCATGAGATCAAGCCCCATGTTGGGCACCATGCTGAGCTTGGAGTCTGCTTAGAGTTTCTCTCTCCTTCTCCCTCTGTTCCTCTCCTCCCACCTAAAATAAATAAATAAATCTTTAAGAAAAATACACGGAAACAAATGAAAGCACAACAGTTCAAAAGTTTGGGATGCAGCAAAAGCAGTCTAAGAGGGAAGTTTATAGCAATACAGGTGTAACTCAAGAAGAAAGAAAAATCTCAAATAAACAACCTAAACTTACCCCTAAAGGAGCAAGAAAAAGAAGAACAAACAAAACCCAAAACCAGGAGAAGAAAAGAAATAATAAAGATTAGAACAGAAATAGGCAAAATAGAAACTAGAAAAATAATAGAGCAGATCAATAAAACCAGGAGCTGGTTCTTTGAAAAGATCAACAAAATTGATAAACCTTTAGTCAAACTCATCAGAGAGAGAGAGAGAGAGAATTCATATAAAGAAAATCAGAAATGGAAGAGGAGAAATAACCAACACCACAGAAATACAAAGGATTGTAAGAGAATACTATGAAAAATTATATGCCAACAAGTTGGACAACCTACAAGAAATAGATAAATTCCTAGAGCATATAATCTCCTAAAACTGAATCAGAAAGAAATAGAAAATTTGAACAGACTGATTACCAGCAATGAAATTGAATCAGTAATGAAAAACTCCCAACAACAGAATGTCCAGAACCAGATGGCTTCACAAGTGAATTCTACCAAATTTAAAGAGTTGATATTTATTCTTCTCAAACTGTTCTAAAAAATTGAAGAGGAGGGAAAGCTTCCAAATTCATCCTATGAGGCCACTGTTACCCTGTTACCAAAACCAGAAAAAGACACCACAACAAAAGAGTACGACAGGCCAGTATCTTTGATGAACTTAGATGCAAAAGTCCTCAACAAAATATTAGCAAACAGAACCTAACAATACATTAAAAAATCATTCACCACAATCAAGTGGGCTTTATTCCCAGGATGCAAGGGTGGTTCAATATTCACAAAACAATCAACATAATACATTACTTCAACAAGAAAAAGGGTAAAAACCATATGAACATTTCAGTAGATGCAGAAAAAGCATTTGACAGAGTACTGTGGGGATTCACAGTGCCTGGATAGATAAAATCTGACTTGTATATACCTCCCTGGATGAGACTAATTGAAAAGCAAAGGAGGAGTGCCCAGAATGCTGGGCGTCCTTTGGAGTTTCTTGGCTGAAAGCGGCCAGATTCTACTGTGGCTCAAGGTTCTCATCTAGGGAGAAAATGTTTAAATTTTGAAGAAATACAGGTACCTGTAGTGGTCACGTACTTCATGAACTCCTTGCCTTGCACATATGTCACGAGCACTGCTCCTACCACATGCTGCCCCATATATTATTGTCCTGATCATTAAGGCTACACTTTCCTTCTTGTTTTTCTCTTGCATGTGGTGTATTGATAAAATTCACAATAAAAGTGGAGACAGAGCTTGGCTCGAGACCTTTCGCCATTAGAGTGTCTGTCCCCTCACCCTCTCCTTTCTCCTACTTTGGTGTCTGGAGTAATCTTTTCATTTGCCGTCTCAGGGTTTGCTGGCCAAACCCAACAAACATCCGTTCATGATAAAAACCCTCAACAAAGTAGGTTTGGAGGGAACATACCTCAATAATAAAACCTTTATATGAAGACCCATAGCTGACATCATACTCAATGAGGAAAAACTGAGAGCTTTTTCCCTAGGGTTAGGAACAGGGCAAGGATGTCCATTCTCACCACATTTATTCAACATAGTAGTGGAAGTCCTAGCCTCAGCAATCAGACAACAAAAAGGAGTAAAAGGCATCTAAATTGTGAGGAAGAAGTAGAACTTTCACTATTTTCAGATGGCATGATACTATATTTAGAAAATCCTAAAGACTTTACCCAAAAACTACTAGAACTGATAAATAAATTCAGTAAGGTGGTAGGATACAATATCAACATACAGAAATCTGTTGCATTCCATACACTAATAATGAAGCAGCAGAAAGAGAAATTTTAAAAAATTCCCATTTACAACTACACCCAAAACAATAAAATACCTAGGAATAAGCCTAACCAAGGAGGTGAAAGACTTATACTCTGAAAACTATAAAACAATGATAAATTGAAGACAAACAAATGGAAAGATATTCAACACTGATGGATAAGAAGAATATTGTTAAAATGTC